AAGCAGGCAGAGGGCCTCCGTGGTTGCTGTTGTGGATGACCCCAGGCCCCCAGTGGGGCCTGGCCCATCTTGACCTCCACTCACAAGGCCCAGCAACCGTAATCTTCTCCACTTGGCCGCCCCACGGCTTCTCAAACTCAGTACTTCTAACGACGACCACACTCTGCTTCCTCTCCAGCCAGCCCTTTCTCCTGCACCCTTGTCTTGTTCGTGGCTCTGTCGTCTCCAGCTTCCCAGCCATCAGAAGATCGTAGTCAAGGCAGCTGCCAGGTCCCTTTGTTTCCTGACGCCTGTCTGCTGAGGCCTGGTTTTGTTCCTTGGGAAAAGGTGAGGCAGGGAAGAGACTACGCTTATTGGGGGCATTGCTTACGTGACTCGTTCAGTCCACGGCAGGGACTGTTTCCATTTCACAGAGGCGGAAACAGGCTCAGAGAAGAGAGGTTTTGTGGTTCGCCTGAGGTAGCTCAGCTGGTTAAGGGGTGGGACTTGGGTTGCCCTCAGGTGTCTGTCTGGAAACGGCGCCGCCTCACCTGTACACAGGGTGTTTTAGTGACACACGTGCCATCCTTGGGACCAGTTTAGTGACCCCTGGAAAGAAGCTCAAGCTCCTCTGGAGAGGGTCACTAGAGAGAAGGAAAGCGTGTACTTCCACGACGGTTTGCCTCGTGTAACGCTTCCTTCTGCCCGAGACTTAGATTTCACGATCAGGAGCTCTTCAAGCGCGCAGGGCCTGAGTCTGCTCTTCAGGCGGCCTTCGCTGATGCCCGATGTCAGGATGGATCTCAAGGAGAATATCCACAGGAAACACGGCAAAGCTGGTCATATGGTTTATCTCCTAATTTTCTCCATCCTTCCCCAAGGCCTCGTGACTAGCAAGAAAAGACTGTTCGATGCAAAAAAGATAAATGGAAAAGTGATGTTTTAAACAGATGGTTTTTATATTTAGATTCGCCTTTCTTGGGGTTGAGTAACTTGAATCGAGGCGGAAGAAGAGCATCCCTGCTCTGACAGCCCAGTTCACCTCTCGGGACTCAGGACCCCCCAGAGGGGTCAGCTCAGGCAGGGCAGCAGCCAAGGGGGAGGGGGCAGAAAGCACAGGCTGTGGGTGGGGGGATGAAAGAAGGATGATGGCAATGAAGCGAGGTGGAAACAAGCTTGGTCTCTGGAGGCAGATCTGGCCTCAATTCCTGCCTCCACCATTTACTTGCTCTGTGACTTGAGGCAAGTTACTTCACCTCTCGGAGCCTCGGTTTTCAACTCCATAAATTGGGGTAACAATGATAGCTCCTACCTTGTAGGGTTGTGGGGACGGCCAAACAAGACACGGCCTGGGAAGCGGGGCCTTCACTGAGCGCCTGCATGCTGGATACACAGAGAGCTGGCTGTGTCTCCCTCTCCTGACCACAGTCGCTGCAGTTAACCAGCTCCTTTTAAGACGTGCCCTGTGTCTGTTCAGCAAGGCAGAGGCTGGTTTCACTCAGAGAAAACTCTGCTGCTAGGTTAGGTGCAGTTTCAAAGCAAAAAATCACATGAGGGCGAGTGAGTATGCAGGAAAACACGTGCAACAACACCTCAATCAGCAGTTCAGAGGCTAGTACTTCCCCCACGTTTAATACATGAATATCGCGCCTTTTAAATGATAAAACCTGTAACATCTCCAGGGAAAGGTTTAGGAAAAACATGACCCTTGTTTGGAGGAAATTCTCTTCCATAAACCAAGGAACGACCAGGCCCTGGAGGTTTTACAATCCCATCCAGCAAAGTGGAGCCACGCGCTATAGAAAGCAGCGCTTCAGCGTTTCCTAAGGCAAACGAATCAGAACAAGTCATGCTTCTCAGAGAAAGCTTCCAGCCGCAGTCTCATAGCAAAGTCAGAAGAAGAGCTGTGACTGACACCCGAAAGGTGTGAGCAGAGCATCAGAGAGATGGGGCGGGGAGCACATCCCCCACCTTCGTTGAGAGCATTGTTCTCTGGTGACTGTGGTCGGTCAAACCTAATGCTGACGCTCTTTTCCTCCTGTGGCCCCTGGCAGCTGGGCATCTATCACCTTGTTCCCTTGTCCCTTTCCTTCTCCTTCCCTTTTTCCCGCCCACTGCTTCTCGCCTCACCTGCCAGAATCCCTGGGAATTCCTGAGTCCCAGCATTGGAGGAACACCATCCCTGAGCTCCTGATGGGGGGTCAGGTCCATGGACTTCAGCATAGACACAAGGTCACATCTCCCTACGCCCCTTCCTAAGGTGCATTTTTATTTCCCATACACATCTTGTTAAAGACTCTAGGCTATGAGATAGATTTTTCAGATATTACTGAATAAAAGGGGGGATAATAAATCCAAATGAATGATGGAGCACTAACTATTTGGAGGTGGCGAGTGGGGTAGAGCCAGTATGGTTTTGAAAAGATTAATTAAAATAGGGCTCAGTTGGGCTAATTGTTGAGGATGGTCTGCTCTGTCCACATCCTTTAGCTGGAAAGATCATTCAGCCATGCCTGGCTTCCTGGGTGGGGCTCTTAGCCCTCTGGCTGGTCTCCTTGGTGGTCTGGAAACCAGGGTTCCTCTAGGTCTCTCCCAGAGACCTTTGTTCTGGGGGACCTTCTGTTCTGAGCCAGACCTGCTAAACTCCCCAAACAGACCTCAAATGCTGCTCAGGCTGGAGACAGAGCAGCATTCCCCGTCTCCCAAGGCCCTGTGGACTGGGCATGTTCCAGGCCTGGGCTCATTCTCACCACCCACAGCAGCAGGGACAGTGTCCTGGGCGAGTCCTGGGTTTCTCTGTTAGTCAGCAGGACCTAAGGAACTTGGGTAGAACCTGCCGGGGGTTTCTTTTTCTAGATCTGCATCATCTACTATGGTACCCATAGCCACATATGGCTACAGAGCCATACATGTCTTTATTTTTAATTAATTTAAATTTAAAAACTGAAGCAGTATAAAACAACTCACTTCTTTTAGTAGGAGTACATTTCACTTTAACCTTTGAAAAGTTAGCATCCAAATTGTTGAGATGTGCTGTGTCAAATACATACTGGATTTTGAAGACTTAATACAAAAAAAAGTAAAGTATCTCATTAATAATTTTATGTTGACTTAAATGATTGTATTTTAGATATAGTGGGTTAAATAAAATCTACCATTAGAAGTTTTGCCCACTTCTTTTTACTTTGTTTAATATGACTACTAGAAAATGTTCCCATGGCTCCCCTTATAGTTCTATGGGCAGCCCTGCTCTAGATGAGGCGACGTGTACTTTATCTTATAGAGACAGCAGTCAGAAGTGGAAGCCAGCCCCGGGTGGCACAGGTGCTGACCCGGAGGCAGCGGCTCCTGGGAGAGCCACCGGAACCAGCACCTGTGTTGCTCGCAGTCCCGTTACCTTCCCAGGCAGCTCCGAGGGTTGCCAGCATCGGGCCCTCGACCGGGAGCGCCCCTCCTGGCTCCGGGTCTTCAGTCTCTCCGTTGACATCTGTGGGCAGCTCCTCTATGAGACTCGACTTTTCCGGGAATAGCTCATCCTTGGCCTCGAAGCTTTCCTTGACAAACAGCTCCATTTTCTGCTGCCTTTCTCCGTCCTCCCCAGGCTCTGCCTTCCCCTCCACATAGGCATCCATGTTCTCACCGTGGTCTGGTGGCAACTCCCCTGAACAAGAGAAGTCCAGAGATGAACTGGGAACCATCCTGGGAGGACAAGGGTGTCTACGCATCCCTCGGGACACCAGCAAACTGCTGAGAATGAGCACTGGGGAAGCTGTCAGGCATGCAGTAAAGGATTACTTAACGGTGGTGGTTGCACAATGTACTAAATGTGAATGTACTAAATGACACTTTAAAATGGTTAGTTTTGGGGCCGGCCATGTGGCCTAAAGGTTCAGTTCGGCATGCTCTGCTTCGGTGGCCTTGGTTTGGTTCCCGGGTGTGGACGTACATCACTCATCAGTGGCCATGCTGTGGCAGTGGCTCACATACAAAATAGAGGAAGACTGGCATGGATGTTAGCTCAGGGTGAATCTTCCTCAGCAAAAAAATTAAAAAATAAAATAAAATGGTTAGTTTTAGGTTGTGTGAATTTCATCTCAATTAAGAAAAAAAGGTCAAGGGCCACCATGCTTTTCCATTGTGACTTGCACAGAAGGCCTCTCTCCAACACTGGGGCTACAGCTCCTGCCTGACTCCCCAAGTGCAGGAGCACCTTGCCCCCTGAGTTTATCCTACCCCGCCCCGCCCCACCACCAAGCTCACGCCACCAACATCACTCCCACAACGGCATCTTCTTCATAACCCATGACTTCCCGCCACCTTCCAGGTCAAGGCTGGTTTTCAAGGCCCTTCTTGATATGATCTCACCCAACCCAGCCAACTTTATAAGATTTCCCAATTTACAACTTAATTCCAAACCCAGGTACCTGGTCCTCCTCTTTGCCTCCCCAGGAATACTGTGGGCTCCTTGGAGGAGATGGAACCGTGTCCTCTCCCTCTGTTGGAACCTGTGACAGTGTCTGCATGCTGCTCCATGTGTGCATAACAGTTCGCACCTGAGGTTTGTGTGCAGAAGCCTATTTATTTATAAATGTCCCCCCCGCAATGTACAGAGACAACTTTCTGTGTGCATAAAAATGTTGGATTTAAAAGGGCAATAGTAGTAATGAAAAATCTTAATAACGATGAAAAAATCAAGATGACCACAACCCTCTGATTGAAACAAGGCATACAAGGCCCTGACTGAGCCCCAGTACACATGCTGGCTACTTTTATTGCTATTAATGGCAGTAGGTGTGGTACCTATGAAATCAGTACAATGTCATATTGCTTTGATATGAAGTCATAAGATTCATTTGTAGTAGACAGAATAATGGCCCCACAAAGATGTTCACATCCTAATCCTAGAATATGTGACCTCACATGGCAAAAAGGACTTTGCAGATGTGATTAAGGATCTTGAGATGGGGAGATTGTCTGGGTGGGCTCAATGTCATCACAGGATCCTTAAAAGAGGGAGGCAGGAGTGTCAGAGCCAGAGAAAGACGTGAAGATGCTGTGCTGTTGGCTTTGGAGATGGAGGGAGGGTCCACGAGCCAAGGAATGCAGGGGGCCTCTAGAAGCTGGAAAAGACATGCAAACAGATTTTCCCCTAGCATAGTGAGAGGGAAAACAGTCCTGCTGACGCCTTGAATTTAGCCTCGTGAGACACATGTTGGACTTCTGACCTACAGAACTATGGTAAGATAATAAATTTCTGTTGTTTTAAGCTCCTAAATTTATGGTAATTTGTTTACAGCAGTCATAGAAAATTAATACATCATTTATTTTGGAAAACTGAGGCTATTTTAACAAATTGTGTTTTCATCACTAAAAGTGGTTTGAAACTGCATGTAACTGTTGGGGCTTTTCGCTGCCCCTGGCAGGTGGCTGAGGCCAAGTGCAGATGGATCCGCAAGTGTGTGAGCAAATGGTCAAAACACACACACACACACACACACACACACACACACACCCCCGCAGAGATGAAAGTCTGGCGTTCAACAGCCCCGATTACTAATCTGAATGGAGCGCCGGGTGCTCCGTCCGTCTAGAGCGCGTACCTTTCTCTTGGCTTTCTGTCTGTCGTTTTCTCTCTGCAGCCTGCTGCTTGAGCATTGCCAGGGCCTCGATGCTGTCTCTGATCTTCTTCTGCTCTCTGCTCTCCCACTGCTGTCTCTCCTCTTTCTCAGCTGCATCTCCTCCCCTAGCCCAGGCCTCTGCACAAGCTCTGTTTAGAAGGACAAATAAACAGAAATCAGAATTTTCACAGATGAAAAGTAAATTCAAAACATATACTCTCTGATCAAACTTGCTCATTTTCCCCAAAATCAAACTAAAGGCACATAGGACATGTGACTGCAAGGATAAAAGTTAATACATGTTCATTTTAATCTTTAAAGTCTAATGGTTTGCAACGCCATCTAGATATGATGCCAAAAGCACAAGCAACAAAAGAAAAAATAAAGAAATCGGACTCCATCAAAATTAAAAGTAATTTAATGCAAGTAATGCATTAGTGATGCATTTTGCAAGTAAGGCAAAGAAAGCCATAAATAAAGTAAAAAGACAACCCACAGAATGTGAGAAGATATTTGCAAATCATATGTGATAAGGGACTTGTATCTAGAATATATAAATAACTCTTACAACTCATTAATACAAAGACAACACAATTTAAAAGTGGGCAAAGGTTAAAAGAATCAGAAGACAAGCCACAGACTGGAGAAAATATTTTCAAGAAAGAAAACTGATAACGGGCTTGTATCCAAAACATACAAAGAACTATTAAAACTCAAAAATTAAAAAAAACAGACAACACAATAAAAGAGTGGGTAAAAGATCTGGACATCTCATCAAAGAAGACAGGCAGATGGTAAATAAGCTCAACTTCATATGACATTAGGAAACTGCAAATTAAAACAAGGTACCACAACACACCTATTAGAATGTCTAAAATCCAAAACACTGTCAGCACCAAATGCTGGCTAGGATGTGCAGCAACAGGAACTCTCATCCATTGCTGGTGGGAATGCAAAATGGCACAGCCACTTTGGAAGACAATTTGGCAATTACAAAGCCAAAGATAACCTCACCATATGATCTAATAATCACCCTCCTAAGTATTTACCCAAATGAGTTGAAAACACATATTCGCACAAAAACCTGCACAGGAATGTTCATAGCAGCTTTATTCAGAATACCCAAAAAGTGGAAACCACCCAAATGCCCATCAACTGATGGATAAATAAAATGTGACATATCTGAATGGAATATTATTTTGCAATATAAAGGAACGAAGCACTGACACCTGCTACAACGTGGATGAACCTCGGAAACACCATGCTCAGTGAAAGAAGCCAGACACAAAGGGCCACATATTGAAAGACTCCATTTATATGAAATGTCCAGAACAGGCAAATCCGTAGAGATGGAAAGTAGATTTGTGGTTGCCAGGGGCTGGGAGTGGGAGAGGGGAAGGGGGAGTGACTGTTAGTGGGTAAGGGTTCCTTTTTGGGGTGATGGAAATATTCTAATATATTCACAGAGTTGTACATAACACTGTGAATATATTAAAAACCATTGCATTACACACTTTAAATGGATGAATTAAATGATAGGGGAATTATATGTCGATAAAGGTGTTATATATATACATATATATATATTTTTTTTAAAGTCTAGTTTAAAAACAGGAGGCTTAAGGGGCCAGCCCAGTGGTGTAGTGGTTAAGTTCGTGCGCTCCGCTTCGGCAGCCCGGGGTTTGCAGGTTTGGATCCCCGACACAGACCTATGCACCACTCATCAAGCCATGCTGTGGCAGCATCCCACGTATAAAATAGAGGGAGACGGATGTTAGCCCAGATGTTAGCCCAGGGCCGATCTTCCTCACAAAAAACAAAAACAGAAACAAAAACAGGAGGCTTAACTTTAGAGAGAGGAAGCAGATCCCTGCTGGAAAAGCAAAGGTACAGGAGGTATTTGGAAATTGTGAGACAGAGTTTTGCAAAGTATACTATAGCAGAAGGAGACCACAAGTCACCAAGACAGAAGATGTCAGAAAGAATAAACTATGTTCAGGGTCACTTACCATACCAGTGGGAAACCCTCAGACCCTTTTATCTAGGAGCAGACATCCAGCAGACACAGGCCAGGCACTATTCTAGGGGCTGGGGAACAGCAGGTCACAAGAGATGACGTGGCTCGCTCTGTTAGAGCTGCCCTTTACGGGGAAGACAGACTCTAAACAGGGAAGCAAATATGTGTCAGAGGCTGATGAGCCCTAAGGAGAGAAATCAGGCTACAGAGACATCGGGGGAAAAGGTGCTTCTTAGGGTGTTTGGTCAGGGAGATCCTCATAAGATGACAGGTGAGCAGACAGCTGCAAACATCTGTGAAGAGCATCCCAGACAGAGAGAACAGCAAGTGCCCAACGTGGAACAGCAAGTGAGTGGAGGAATTAGGTTCAAGCCCAGGTGAGTCTGATTTCTGGACTGGCGTTGTGCTATACTATAGAAGGCAGTGGGCCTCACTGCCAGGTGTCCGGCTCATACCCCTGTTCGAACTTTCCTGCTTGTCAGTGCTGCCCCAGTGGCAGCCGCTCCCACTGGTTCACTCCTCCCATGAGCCTGGTACCTGCTCAAGCCCACATGTTACTCACAGGTACTCATGAGGACGCTGACAACAGTTGTCTCCACTTTACAGATGAGGAATGTGAGGCTCAGAGGTTAGCGAGCCCACCCAAGGGAACATAACTTGCGGCTGCAGAGCTGGACTTTGAAGTCAGCACACTGGCCCTGCTCGCCGGCCCCCGCCACCCCCAGGGCTGGGTGCCTGCAGAACCGGGTGCATCTCTGCCGAACTTCCCAGAAGCAGATCTTGCTTTCTCACCTAGTCGGAGTAGAAGCTCTCACTTCTATTTGAAATATTTGTGAGTTTGACTTAAATTTGTGAGTTCAAAAACGTATTACCAGCTACATTTCTTTTTAAATGTTGTTTAACTCAAAATTCAGATTGCACTTCCCTTCAAGCAGTCCATATTACTGAGGTTTTATTCTAAGTTAGAATGAATAGTGACCTAAATTAAAAGGTAAATTAAAAACACAGATAAAAGTAGTGACAACACACATGGCAGTCTGGGTTCAATATTCCTAATATAAAAGAGTTCTTATGAATCAATAAGAAAAAGCCCCCAAAAGGCAACTGGGAGGAAATCATGAATGGAGTACTCATAGAGGAGGACACACAAATGTTCCACAAAGATGGTAAAAATGACCAACCTCATCAGTTTTCCAAAAATGCAAATTTAAAGGAGATAACATCTTCACTCATCAATTAACTTGGCAAAGATTTCTTTTACATGGCTATGTCTGGTGAAGTTATAAACTGTTACAAATTTTCTCGAAAACAAAAAATATTTATAAGCATCTTTATAATTTTATTTATTTATTTTTTCCCCCCAAAGTCCCAGTAAATAGTTGTATGTCATAGCTGCACTTCCTTCTAGTTGCTGTATGTGGGACGTGGCCTCAGCATGGCCGGAGAAGCAGTGCGTCAGTGTGCGCCCGGGATCCAAACCCGGGCCGCCAGCAGCAGAGCGCGCGCACTCAACTGCTAAGCCACGGGGCCGGCCCTATAAGTATCTTTAAAAAGTCTCAAACCACATTCTTTAATCCAATAATACAACTCCTAGAATTCCATCCCAAGGAAATAATCAGCAATAAGGTCAGACTTATATGCAAGGCTAATTATCAAAGGATTACGAAAAAGTGTTCAAAAAAAAGGGAATTTCCTATTATACACAATTATGTAGCCAATAAACCTATTTCCAGGGGCTCGCCCAGTGGCGTAGCCGTCAGGTTGACATGTTCCCCTTTGGTGGCCCAGGTTTGCCGGTTCAGATCCTGGGTGCGGACAGTCACGGCTCATCAAGCCATGCTGAGGCGACATCCCACATAGAAGAACTAGAAGGACCTACAACTAGGACATACAACTATGTACTGGGGCTTTGGGGAGAAAAAAGAAAAAGAGGAAGATTGGCAACAGATGTTAGCTCAGGGCCAATCTTCCTTAAACAACAACAACAACAACAAACAAACCCACACCTATTTCCAAAGACTATTTAATGATGTACGAAAATACTAAAAAATCAGAATCTTAAAAAAGTTTAATATAAAGCATGCTCAACTATTATATATTAAAATGTGATCAAAAGGCTTTTCTTTTCCTTACCTGTCCTTTGGAAAGACTGGTCTATCATCCAGGTATGTTAATTGTTTTAGTCGAACAGTGACTGTCCTCCGATAGTTAGGAATGTGCCTGATAACCGGGTTTCCCATCAAATTCAGTACTCGCTGTAAGCACACAGGCAGAACCAAATTAATTACTAAAAAAAAAAGGATGTGATTAAAATATTTTATATGTGCTATGCTCTAAGAATAAATAAACAGAATGTATTTCCTAAGTGCAAAGGAAGCGCCAACATCATGTCCTGGTGACTTTCTAAGAGAACCCAGAAGGTTTTCATTGTCTTCGTGCCATCAGAACTGTCCTGATTATTGGGCGGCCCTTTCTTCTACTTGAACTTCAGAACCTCAATCTCCCTGTCCTTCCAGAACAATATTGGAAAACCTTTCTGGAGGCCGTTTCCCAGTGCAGTGATTACATTCGTTTTGCTCACCCAATCTCTTTTACTGAAATTAATCTCAGTCTCAATGATTGTTTTCTCTCCTTCCAGCCAGGACCCATTTTAAGAAAACATACACGACAGCTAGACAGAGAAGCAGCAGTGACTCAGGGAAAAGGATGGAAAGCACCCGCTTATCCACTGTGAGGGCCTTTCTCACCAGGTCGACAGATCTGGATGTCAAGTTGGGACCAGGAAAGAGAAAGGGATGCAGCAGTGCCAGCGCACCGCCCTCCCATCTTTAAATAACGTCACCTCCTCTCCTGCCTGTGAAACACAAAGAAGGTGAATGCTAAGGCAACATGTGGGTGAACCATTTAAAATCAGTTAAACTGGGCCGGCCCCGTGGCTTAGCGGTTAAGTGCGCGCGCTCCGCTGCTAGCAGCCCGGGTTCAGATCCCGGGCGCGCACCGCTTCTCGGGCCATGCTGAGGCCGCATCCCACATACAGCAACTAGAAGGATATGCAGCTATGACATACAACTATCTACTGGGGCTTTGGGGGGAAAATAAATAAAATCTTTAAAATCAGTTAAATTGATGAAATATTTTTCGTATCTGAAGTGGTTTTTGTTGTTGGAGAAAATAAATATATTGTAAACTAGTTAATTTAGCATTTCCCAGACTTCATTCTCGTACCCCCTTCACTGTTCTTGTCATATTTTCAAGTGACCTATCCCATGGGGGCTGGGGTGGTGGGAGCAATGTGCCCCAGGGGCAGGCACTAGAGGGGTGCGTGGTGTGTGGAGAATTTAAAAGCAATGCTAAAACAACTGTAAGGCAGACTGTTTCTGTTCTGGGCTGAACTGTGCCTCTCTCAAATTCATATGTTCAAGTCCTCGTCCCTCAGAATGTGATCATATTTGGAGATGGGCCTTTAAAGGGGTGATTAAGATTAAACGAGGTCACTAGGGTGGGTCCTGGTGCAATATGGCTGGTGTCCTGATAAGAAGAGGAGATTAGGACACACAGACACGCATGGAGGGAGGACCACGTGAGGACACTGGGAGAAGACAGCCATCTACATGCCACGGAGAGAGGCCTCAGGAAAAACTAGCCCTGCCGGCACCTTGATCTTGGACTTGTAACCTCCAGAATCATTAGAAAATAAATTTCTGTTGTTTAAGTCACCCAGTCTTCAGTACTTTGTTATGGCAACCAAGCAAAAAAAAGAAAGAAAGAAAAAGTATTATGATATAATACAGCTTCACATTGCCCCCATGTGCTGGCAGTTCTAAACGAGTCCTTTTTGACAGTCCGCTCTGCAGATTATTCCTGAACTATGATTTGCTTACTATTTTTCTTTAAATTGACACACTTTTCTCTTACTTATCCAATGCCCTAAGCAGTGAACAGTGAACTTCAGGGTTTTGTGTGCTATTTTTAATATTTTTCCTGGTGCACATGACAACACACATACACTAAAGTGCGAGAAAGCCACCAAAGGCCACTGGAGTTGAGTTGAAGGAGACAGGAGCCATTAGGAGGGGTTGTCGCAGGCCAGAAGATGTGACCATTTGAACATCCAAAATTAAAGTGACAGCAAGGGTTAAACCATACCAAGTACTGTATATATAAATCCATGAATTCATAAGGATCCAGAAAAAGAAAAACCCTTCTTTGTCACCATTAGAGGTTCCTAGGTTCTTGATTCACTTTTCTGAAAATTGATAAATAAAAGGAAAGAACCAGACATTTATCCTGGCCTTTTCTGTACGAACTATATATTAGGGAACCACTAGTTGACGAGGGAAAGTTCTTTGCAGAAGCATTCCAGCTATAAATGCAGAAGGAATAAGAGAATTAGACAATGATTATTGTGCAACTCAATGAAATAATACATCGAAGCAACGTTCATCAGTGGCTGCTACAACTAGAGAAAGATGGATGGGGAACTTCATGATGACTGGATCAGGCTGACAACACCTGATCCCACTCATGAATCTTCAAGTAACAAAAAAAGAGGCAACCAGACGTTACCTGCTCTGTGATTATGTGAGGTATGATGTGTCCCAACGGCACACCTCAGAGTGAACTACTGAACCCGCATCTGATCAAGCCTCTGGCCCCATTATCATTTTACAAGAAATACTGGGTACAGCAGAACATGTTAAATGATGCCATGAGGATGCAATTGACCGAATCCAGAATGTGGTAAACTCCCTGAGGGAGGACCCAGTTTCTTCGACAGATTAATGGGATGGGGTAACAGGGAGGGGGAATGTTACAGATCAAGAGAGATCTGAGTGACAAATCATCCAAACACGATGTGTGGATCAGGTTGGATCTGAACAACCCAATGGTCAAAACACATTTTTGAGACAAGTCGGGAAAACTGAACCTGAATTGGGTATTAAATGTAGTTATTATAATATTTTAGATATAATAATAGTATTGTGATTGTGCTAAAAAAAAGTCCTTATCTGTCAAAGATAACACTGAAGTATTTGTGAGTGAAAAGATATGGCACCTGGCATTTAAGATACTCCAGCTGAATATACAAAGAGGAAATGAGTGAGAAAGAAGGCAAGAAGAAAAGAGGGAGGGAAGGAGGCAGGAGGGTAAAGAGAAAAGAGATTTGACATCTAAAGAGCATAAGACAATGCGAGTTGTGTGCGTGTACTTTACCAAATTGGGCATGCTCTCAAGAACGCTCAGGATCCCGGGATCCCTCAGCTTATTGTGGGAAAGGTCAAGGACGCAAAGTTTCAAACACTCCTTCAGATGCTGAATGTCTTCCACGGTCTCTAAGTGATTGTGCGCCATCTGGAGTGTGTTCAGGACTGGCAGACAGGCTGGAAGGGGAGGTCAGCAGAGGTAAGCCACAAAGGTTAAAAATGATTCGCTCCTATAAGATAAAGCTCCAGAACCTCCCCCAAGGGAAAGCGGGAGACTCAATGGCATATAGAAAGACCCCT